TATATATATATATATATAATTATTCTAAGAAATAATAAATCAAATGCAAATTTGAGCCAACACTGGTTATTAGTGTGTATTTTTATATCATTTATTCAAAGTGAATATTACGCACAGTTACGTTTAATATTCACTTTGAATAAATGATATAAAAATATACACTAATAATTAGTGTTGGCTTAAATTGGCATTTGATTTATTATTTTTTAGAATTTTTTTTAAAGAGCCTATTAATTTTATTGTATATATAATTATGTAACTTTTAATTAGAATTAATTATTATAACTTTATTATTCCTTTTTTAAATCACAATAGAAAGTATCATGGAAAAAAATGATTTTACTAAAAAGTATCTAAAAATTTAGTTAAATATATAATAGATCCGAAAGTAATTTTGTTTGAACCATCAAAAAAATTATGTTGAACGCTCAAACTGGTCAAAATGTTTAAACTTTTTGTAACAGTATTATCAACACTTGAAGCGTTCTACATAATTATTTTGATGATTCAGGGAAATTATTTTCATCTCTATATCCAGCTAAATTTTTAGATATTTCAGCAAAATCGTTCTTTTTGCAATGTATAGAGAAAAAATAATTGACTTTTATTTGTTAAAATTAAATATTGATATTTTTCTACATAGGTTTTAATATTGTAGTTGAAAAACATATTGTTTATATCGATAAGTGATCGACATATTGACATCTTGCGCTTCGTACATTGTAATCATTTCGCGCGTTAATATGTTAGAATATGCTCATACGTCCACGTTTTTTTTTTCGCTCTATCGTTTTTAATAATCCGCAGAAACCAATAAGAAGTATCCGGCAATGTCCAATCGACACGGAAGGTCACGCTTATCATCGCTTGTGCAACGCTGCATGTTTTTGCGCGGATTTTTGTGTCGCCCTGCAGTTTTTATTTTCCGTCATAACTATTTATAAAATATAAACCAGTGTTTTGCTACGTCGGTTCTACGTCTCAGCGATAAAGTTCCCGAGAGAACCGCCATTGGGAGCGTCATGAAATTAATAATCGCGCGACTCAGAATCGGAGAAGGGCGACCGCGGGTGCATCCAGCGTCGCGCGCGCGCGCACGCGTGACATCTCAGCTGGTGCACAGACTGGATGAATAAACGTCTTCCTTATCGTCTAAAATAAACTCCACGCATATCTGGATCGTAGCCAGGACGTAGGAAAGTACAATGATATTTGTCGCGTAAATTGTTGCGTTCCTATGGAGGGTGGATCGGATACTCGTCTAAACGCGTTGCCGGCGTGCTTCTTCGAAGCTATTAATACAATGTTAATCGCAAAAATTTGCTGGCGATGCATTTGGCTTGCGAACCGCTTAATCGCGCGATATTACCAATCACACACGCAATTAGGTCTTTAACTACTTGGTTATGAAGTAATCATCTTTTTGACGTATTATTGTATATTATTACATTTATCAGAATGCATTTATGACTGGCATCGTAATATACATTTCGTATTAAAACACATTTGATAACTTTAAACGCGAAATTTTTAATAAATCCGCCTCTTTTTATATTCAGTTATGTCAGTATAAAAATATATCTCATCATAAAAAAAATTTTTTTAAATTATATTTTTAACAAATATTTATAATTAGCATATTTTATAAAAGATTTTTATCCTAATAAAGAAAAAAAACAATAGATAGATTACTCGAGATAGCCATTCGAATTGTCGATTTGTTTTCAAACATCAAGAAGCATCGATTTCTTTTGCAGTTTTTAAATTTTTGCATTAGAAAATCAGTAAAAATTGAAATGCGACGCAAAACAATTTTTTTTATTTAATTTGAATAAAAGAAATAACGTGGTGTTTATATAAGTTTAGTAAATGTAACATAATGACCTCGTTAGCTAAACTTATATAATTAAAATATCATTAAAAACTAAAAAATATTTTGCAAATATGGTGCAACTGTCATAATGCACGTTTTAATTATATATTCAAGCAACAAAGTGTTCGCTTAGAATGTTTCTGCACTGTAAAAAAGTATATGAAGTACATGAATTATATAAATAACATGTGTAAACGTTATACAATTTATAGTAGAAATATTAAAAACTGTGCATTTTCACAAAAAATAATAAATAGTTTTTCTTCTAATTATATAAATATGTCTTGTATTAGACAGGAAATTGCTACCAATGAAATATTGATAATAATAAAAAATATTGTATAGTTTTTATTTAAATGTACAAATTTTTGTAATATTATATAATATAATAAACATCATACATATATTTGCATTTTTACGTTCATATACATATAGCTTAAGAAAAATAATTGTACATAATATGCTGATAAATTATTTTATGATAAATATTTCTCTGCAAACTTAAAATTCATTGCAAATTTACTTTTGCAAAATATTTTGCAATGTTTGTTTAATTACTATAAAGAAAAATAATTATCTAAGTTGTATCTTCACTTACATGTAAATGTACATATTAATAAGTTCCAAAATTATGCACTGTAATTTTATATGTAATTTTTTACGATGTGGATTGCGTCAGGTTATTAAAAAGTCTAAATGACTTTTGCGCTGCGTAATTTTTTTCACAGTAATGGAAAAAATAAATCTCGTTCGGGCAACTTCGCATAATAACGTACTTATTCGCAGCTATTCGCTCAAAGTCTAAAGTATATATAGGCGAAATATAACGAGGGAGCCCAAAACGGTATTTACGACGCATCGAGTCGTTGGCGGTATAAAGTGGCAATCGCGTCGCGCAATTTACTTCACACTCGCATTGTCCCGGCAATACGTCCGACGTATTTCATCCACGAGGCACGCGGATAAGCCGCTGTCAAGGTGGAACGGTCACCCTCGCGATGGTGTGCAAGGGATCTCACAACTCCTCTGTATGAGAGCCGGCATGCACAGCGTCCCTTTAATTAGTGGTCCGTATGCTTTTACAGTCGTATCCCGCTCACATGACGGTCGACTCGCAGAAGCAAATCGAGATGCAGCGGCTGCAAACGGAGCACTTGAAGCGGCAGCAAGAGCACATCATGCAGCACAACATCCAGGAGTTGCAGGCTCAGATGACAAAGAGCCAGCTGAGCATGTCGGGGCCGCAGTCACTGATGTTTCTGCCGTTTCTTGAACAGCTCAGAGGGCTGCCCGTGCAGTCGCCCATGCCTCCACCGCCAGCCACGTCAACCGCCACCACCGGCAACAAGCACATCAACTCCATCGCCAATGTACGTGACCCGATGATTATCGATATCGCCTGTATCGCCTGTATCGCCTGTATCGTATAGCTCTATGTAACGCTCGCTCTTTCATAATATCACGCACTATTTTCTCCATATTAGTTATATCTCGGTATACCTGTTATTACAGAAATTTAATATTGGAAGGTAGTGATTAATTACTTGTTAAGCATCGAACAGTACTTTATTAAGGCTGTCTCTTGCGGTTCTACATTAGTCGTATGACGTCAGAGGCGTTACACGTAATTAATTAATTGTTGGACACAATATTATTTTTTTCTTTGAAACAATTTCATAATCCTGAAACTTATTAAATATGCGGTAAACTAAGACATTTGTCCGATATGGAAGAATACTTCCTATAAAATGATTCCTGAAATATATATATATATATATAATATAATAGTATATTTCTCAGTTGTTAGAAACCAGCATGATGATAGCTAATTACATTGCTACGTGAAATATTGGATAAATTAGTCTTAATTTGCCGTATATTTTACAGATTTCAAAATTATGAAATTATTATGTTTATAAGAAAAAATTAAAAAATAATGCTGTACGTAAGAGCAATTAATTTATTGAATGTCATTTCTCGCTTTTGACGTCACACAACTAATGTAGTTGCTAAAGATATACGGGCCTTAATATTCAAAATTAATAATTAATCACTATTTTTATTAGTATTAAATTGGATTTCTGCAAGAAATGCTCGTTTCAGAGATATAAAAATCTGATTATGAGAAAAACCTTTAAAATCCTAACATTTATTAAAAACAAATGTATACAGTTTTAACTTGTTACTAAGGCGAAATATGCGTGACTTCCAGATATGTTATGTATAATATTATTTTTACACTTGCCCTATTATTGTAATAAAAACAATTTTTAATAACTTTTAATAACATAAATTTTATTTGGTATAATTTCGTCTGAGAGGACCAAATTTAATTCCAAGTATTCTAAAAATTGCACGTTGATTTGAGTTTCTTAAATTAGCTAAACTTTAATAAACTTTACTTCATATTAGTAACGCCAAGTTAACATTAGTACTATTCCGATCGAGAAATTCCGACTCATTAGTCTGACGTGAGATTTTTCATTCGTTCGCAGATGATCAGCAGCCACCGAGAAGGTCCAAGCTGGGCGACCGCACATCTCGCTCAGATGACCACGCAAATGGAGAAGGAATCGTCGTCGCCGGCGCCGATTTCATCCGCGGTAGCGCCAACGGCTCCGCCTCTTCAGGATCTCGACGCCCCGTTGAACCTCACCAAGCCGAAATCGACGTCCTCGGGCGCCACGGCGTCTTCCTCGTCACCCGGTAGTGACTCGCACTCGACCGGTGCTGGAAGCAGCGGCCAGCAGGAGCAACCATTAGCGGCGACCGCGCCCAAGCTCTTCCCTCCAGGACTGCCGATACCGCGGAATTACCTGCCGACGCTTCCTTACGCCGGTCTACCACCGCATCTCAGCAGTCTGTCTTCGCCGAGTGAGTGAAACATTCGTGATCATTCGCTTTAATCGCGTGAGAGCAGAATGAAGCCTGCAGGATTACACCGGCTGTTGAGGAGCGGTGAAGTCGAGTATCGTGTCGAAATGACATTTCGCGGATATTCCGGAGAGATTGTTGCTATTCACAACGGTTAATTATCTTTATGCGATATACGTGTATGCTTTCACTACAGCGCATTTCGCAAATTGCGTACCTATTATAATCGACCGACCGTTCGTGAATTCATCCGAATTACCGCGATTAAAGTAACGCCCGTTGTTGCGATCCGAGCATTACCAGAACTCGTGGTTGCGCCGATTACGCGACGCGTTCGTCCCGCGGAACAATTGCAAATTGCCGATTGCCGTAAATGGATTCCACGAGAGAAAGGCACGGTTGGTACCTTTCAGAGTATGCGATTTCATGCCGGCGGCTTGAACACTTAATCATCTTCGAGCAGGCTAGTTTTCCCGATTGTCCGCGGACGGGGTTTTTTTTCCACGGCTGCTCGCCGTCCGGAGAACCTGTTTCACTTGCCATCTGGTTTTTGCCACAGGTACCGGCGTGCTCATAATCAACGATGCGTAACGCGATTCCGCCCGATAAGGGCCGCGCGACGCGCGATTCGCATAAGCGAGGAAGGGAAGAAAATCCACAGGCCGTCATTGTAACGTTAAGAGCGAATCTCTTCGCGTTGCAATCGCGTTGCCGCGCGTTATTTCGTCCGCGACATACGTGGAGTACTAAAAAATATGTCTGAACTTCGGAATTGTGTTTGAGATCCGGAGTAGCGAAAAAATCATTCCTGCAAACGATTTTGAAAATAATATTTATTTTACAAGCGCAATTGAACGACAGCAAGCTCTTCACTATTTTTTTTTCGGAGACTATATTTCTTTCTATTTGAAAAAATTCTAATGTCTTATTTAGCTGCGGTACTAATCCTCCGCAGATTGTGTGAGAATTTGAAGACCCAGACGATTTTTTGACTATCAATTATTTTGCTGATTCTGCCTCAAAATTGACATGAAAAAATTAAGAAACATTTTAAGTCACATAATTATATAGTTGTATTTCTAAATATTAAAAGAGACCAGAATTTTTTCAAATTTTGTCAAAGCCAATTTCCTTTGAAAAACCGTTTCAGCAATCCAGATAGTCTCACTAATCATCAAGAAAATTGTCGAAACTATCCATCACCGACTTTAAATATGATTATAAAAAAGTATTAAAATTACTTTTTTATTTGCTTATGTCAAGGTTTAGAAGTCTCGAAACAACTGGAGATGAGAGTATATTAAAAACCTATATTAAGAGTATAAAATATAAAACTTTTACATAGAACATTTTTTGATATACCTCATAATTTCGAAGATATTGGATGAAAATGAAAAAAAAATCCGTTATTTTTGAGAAGTTGTTATAACTTTCAGATAAGCAGATAAAAAATACGGGTATTATTAATATTATTAATATTCTTTGATACTTTATAATAGTCTACAACATGCAAAGTGCCCATCAAAATCGATGGGAGAGTTTCGATGGTTTCCTTGTAAGTGGTGAAATTCGGGATAATCTGCGAAAGGCTAAATAATAAAACTGACGAAATAAAAAAACGTAAGACGCGTAAAAAGTCAGGAACATCGCATTCTCCGCTCTACGTCTTTGTTTTTTAGTACTTTATACATCTTACTCTATATATCTTAAAAGATATCTGTAAAGTATATCTTAAAAACGTGAACTCTTTCGTTCTCGTATCTCCATTACGCATCTTTCACTCCGTTTCTCCGGTAACCCGTTACAGTGGGCAAGGTAATGGCCAAAGACGAGGCCGGCGGACCAGGAGGATCCGTGGCGGCCGCTGCGGTCGCGGCCGTGGAAAAGCACTTCGCGATGCACGGGCTGTACGGATTGCCATCGAACACAGGTGGGATGCCACCGTCGGCCCAGACTCAAAGACCGATCAAGCATTCTGGCTCTCGGGAGGAACCGCCTCAGGAGGAGCAGGATTTTCTCTCGACGCCTCACAGTAAGTGGACGTGGAGGAACGAGCGTCGCGTTAATCGCGAGACGGATCGCGAAGCAGATACAAAGAATACACTTAATATAGTTTCAAACGTAGCGTACATTTTTTTGACAAATGTCTTCAGATCTTTCGGACTTTTTTCGGAAATAATGTGTCATATAAATTCAGGTCAAAATCAAGAATGAAAGAAATGAGATTAAATGTGCACATAGCATGTAAAGAAATTATAATAATTAAGTATTATGTAAATTTTTTCTTTTTCTTTTTGAGAAAAATATAAATAATATTGTAAGGTGCATGTAATATTTATTATAATGATTGTATTAGTGCTATAAACTATGCATAATAGTCTTCCACGTAACGTCGCATATCTCGTATATATGATATATTCGGTTTTGAAATTGCAGTGTGGCGAGATCCGGGATATAAAGTAGCGGAAGACATAACGGAAAAAGGTAAGCACTTCTATGAGTAACGATTAGACTACTATTACGCTCTTGTTTTGAGAGCGCCAAGTGACGCCCTCGCGAAATCAGATTCGTTTCTCACGAGAGTATCGTGAATCTCGACGACGACGTGACATCTAACGCCCCGTCTCTCTTTCTCTTTCTCTTCAGCTAAAATGGTGAGGCAGCAGAAAAGGGAGGGTGAGAACAAGCCACATATCAAGCGACCTATGAACGCATTCATGGTGTGGGCCAAGGACGAACGTAGAAAGATCTTGAAAGCCTGCCCAGACATGCACAACTCGAACATATCGAAAATTCTCGGTAAGTATACCCGATCCATACACGTCACTCGCACGATTACAGTTAATGCTTCGACTATAACGATTTTTCTGATGGATGTAATTATGAAATAATTATCTATATATTCCCTTACTTCCAAAGTCGTTATACAGCTTAAAAATGTGAGTTATTGCCATGAATTTAGTTAATGATTACTCTATCAATCATCAAAAGTAAACTAACTTAACTTTACAGTCCGTTCGCCAAGTAGCACTTCTTAAAAAGTTTTCAAAGAGATACATAATACTTTTTATAAGAGTGACACATTTTGAGCTGTGTCATTTTTGTAAATATTAAATATAAGAATATTTAAGGATATTTTTTTACACAGAGAACATTTAAAGTTAAGGCAGTTTTAAAGTTTGAAGATGAAAATGTTTTAGTAATTTTAACTCATCGAGATAAATATAAATTGTTGGTGATATTTTTCGAGTTCACATTTAATGAATCATTCTGGATTTATCGTAATTTTGTATGATATTAAAAAGGATGGTATTTTAAAGATTCTGAAAAACAAAAAATGACCAAAGTGATTCTATTTGATCGTATTTTTAAGAATATATTTTTCTTGCTGATATTATTTAATTAATTAATTTTCTATTGTTGAAAAATAGTTTTTCCACTTTTCTGAAAAATTTAATTTTTTAAGCTGTATTACTTTTTAGTAATAACGATATATTCTTTAAGAAAACCTTTTATAATTATAGTACCTTTTATAATTGAGCCTTAAATTTACCTACATTATTTTACTTAAATTATATAATTACATATATCAATTATATAAATTGAACATAAATTTATATCATAAATTTATTAGTTCATCCATCAATTGTATCCATGTGATAGAATTATAAAATTCTGCAAGTATGTGCTAAAACTCAAAAATAATATATAAATCGCAAGCAGAGAATTATCAAAGAACGCGAAACGTGTTCCACTTCAACACGTATCCTTTATATCGGTTACAGGCGCCCGGTGGAAGTCGATGTCAAACTCGGAGAAACAGCCATATTACGAGGAACAGTCGCGGCTTTCGAAGCTGCACATGGAAAAGCACCCAGACTACAGGTACCGGCCGCGGCCAAAGCGCACGTGCATCGTGGACGGGAAAAAGATGCGTATCTCCGAGTACAAGTCGCTGATGCGGCAGCGGCGGCAGGAGATGCGGCAGTTGTGGTGCCGTGACGGCGGCACTGAGATGAACTTCTTGTCACCGGTAAGTGCCGATATGACTGGCACGCAGCATCACCCGGGCACGGGCGCCGGTCCGTCGGCGCGACCATCGGTCTCGCCGCCGGCGACGATGCTGAACGGTGGTGGCGGTGCTGCCGGCCCAAGTTCGGACCATCCTTCGTTCTACTATCCACAGGACAGTCTGTCGCCCACGGACATGATGAACTTCTCACCCGAAAATTCTGGCTCGATCGGCGGCTACGACGCGAGTCCGCGGCATCACGATGAGGATTGAACCGCAGCTCCGGGTCAGCCACTTTGGCCGCCCGGAGCATCATCGTCATCATCGTCGGCAGTGGCAGCGGCAGCGGCGGCCGCAGCGACTGCAGCGGCCGCGTCTACGTCGAGGCTCGCTTACGAACTCTTCTGGTAATCGGAATCATCCGTCTCAGTGTGACAACGTCGTCGGTCAGGTGTCGTGTGTGCGACACCGACCGTGAACGCGCGATCGCAGGAACATGTCCGCGAACTGCGCTTCTCTGCACGACGGTGACAAGAAGTGAACTGGAAGAGGATACTACTTCTCGGGGAAAGAAGAGTCGGGCGTCTCGAAACCTCTCGCCGGAGGTTGTGATATAACGTTCTATTTCTGTGCCATCGTACGCGAAACGCGAAGGACCTATCCACGAAGTAAAAAAAGCGCGAGAGCATCTCCGTCGCGACGTCGCTCGATCGTTAATCTTTCTTGCTCTTCGGTATAAACTTATTGAAAAAAAATGCTGGTGTCTTCGTTATACGTAATCTTTACATCAGTTAGTCCGTTTGATTTGTTATCGAATATGTACGCGGATCTCGATACAGTGCTCGATAAGCTTATATGCGCTGTCATATTGATAACAACAACTTCTTTAAATTTAGCAAATATTTTAACATCATCTGACATCCAAGCTCATTTAAAGTAGTGCTCATTTAAAGCCTTGGCACATACAGAAACTTAAGATGTAAGACTTAAGCGATAAGGAATCAACATGTTGGATTCGCTACTGCTTACATTATAGTCTAACGGATTCTATTGTGATTGCTCGATTTGTTTACTGCTTAAGTTTTTTTATGTGCCATAGCCTTTAAGAAGAAAAAAAAACAAGAAAATCCAACTATCTTCTTGATTTGAAGCTTTGAATATGTTGTGTAAGCTCCAAATAATTTACACCAAATGGAGCTATATTCAATAAAATTGTTTTTCGAAAACTGTGGTTTGGTTTTACATATAAATTTATTCATTGTTTATATCATTCTATTTGTACTATTGATATCTCGTAAAGAATGGCTGATTTTATTTTTAATGCTTGAAAATTGTATTGTCTTTGCATATAGAAATTATTACACATGACTGAATTTAGCGTTTTTAGATAATACACGAGATTAGAAGAAACCGACTATTTATATTTTTTAGATAATACACGAGATTAGAGGAAACCAAGGAATTAAATATTTATATAAAAAGACTTAAAATTACTTTTGTTTTTAAATTGTATTTATATCCCTTAAAGTGGGGTTGAATATTAAAAAAAAAATGTACATCTTTTATTTTAATACCGTAACGTTCATATATCCAAAGCTCATTAAAATCAAGGGAAGGGATGCCGAAATTGAGTTTGTTTTCTTTCTAAATTCTTTATTTTCAAAAATTTAAAGGTCTATTTTCGCGCATATTATTTTGCATGTCAATTTGCGGATTTCTTTTATCGCTGCGCAGTACAACGCAATTTCGAGACAATCTGTATCAAGATCCGGGTGTTTATCTTACCATATACGATGATGGCCGCAGTTCGTAAATTGTTCTTGTGCAAGATGTTTCGGTTGTTCGCTTTTGTTCAATCGAAATTCTTAAGCGAACTCTTCCGAATGCATTGAAAATTCCAAACGGTCCAAGCGATTCAAACTGGAACAATGGGACGTCGTAAGATTTTAAAAGACATCTGTTAGACATCCTAATTTTTCGCACGTCTCTCCTGTGGCATCTTTCGTTTCGGTAACTTGCTCCTGCATTACACGGGCGACGATTACATGGAGGACGACTTCTCTTACGCACATCGGTGGTATTCCTTGTATATTCTCCTGCATCGTAATCAAAACTGCAGTCCGTATGGAACTTCCTTATAAGCACACAATATTTCTAGAATGTTATAGAAATATTATTTATCTGTTTTATTTAATATTCACATAACATTCTAAGAAGGTTGTGTCTTATATGGTCACGGTAGACCTCGATCATCGGTAGCTAACGTGTAGAGATAACGATTAGAAATAACCGGCATTGAACTAGCGGCCAAAAATCAAGCAGCTTGTTGTAATTCAGTCCCTACATTCGGCGTGTGTGCGCACGGAGCGTGGGTTATGTACGCATAATTTTTATAATATAAGACAATCGCGCGCTGATTCGGATGCGCAACTCGTGCCGGTCTTCTTATCGGACTTGGATACGTAGCCGATATCACGTACACGTTGCGACACGATGCATGGCCAAAAAGTTGTTCCTATTTCTCTTAGTATGTATGTGTGTGTGAGAGACTAACGATACGGCCGATTTCCGGACGGTCATATCGGGGAAAAAAGAAACGAAAAGAAAGAAGAAAAACAAAAAAGAAGAGTAAACGAATAAATAGAAACTGGTCTATCTCGCAGCATCTTCCGCAACGATCGCACGCGTCCAAACGCGTAGACGCCGCACGTGGCAATCTTATCTTGCGACCGCCAGTTGTTTGAATGTCTCCATCATATACATATAAAATAACTGCGTTCGACGCGCCGAACGAAAGGTCGGAATAGAGTGAGAAAAAGCTAGAAGCTAATCGCTCGCGCGATTAAATCCCGGTACGTGGGCGCGTGACGGGCTTCTCGTTTAATATAAATGCCTAGTACTTATAGTATTTTCACCGTTAATTTATTGACCCTAATGTAAAAGCGGCGACAGCCGAGACGGTTAATAGTCGATTGAGTGGCAGGGGGCGAAAAGGGGCGAGAGGGCGTAATAAAGAGGGTTGAAATGGGACGGACACATTGGGAATTAGCGGATCATCGATATATTAGTACAACAGTTACGGTAAAAATGGTTATGGTTGCGGAAGGGATTATAGCATTATTTATCGAAAGATCAACGCGCATCTGCGAACCTGATCACCATGCTCGACACGTCGCCTCTATTTTCGTAGGGGCGCGTCACGCGCTTCTCCGTCTTCGAATTACATTTACGAATGTAGGGGAGATTGCGGTGCATGAAGGGGGGGGGAGGGGGATGTGAGATCGACGGAGACAATTACGACCTCACGTAAGTCGATACGAAAAGGCGAACGCAATTGTAGCTAGGCAGTGGTCTATGGAACGATCGAACAGAGCGATATAATGATTTGGAGCTTGATGTGATATAATACTTATGTGCCAAATAGCGTTTTCGCGGG